CTTCAGGGTTGTCTACCGCTGACGAAGCTTCTGTGAGAGAAGCGAAGCGTCCTTTTTGTTTTTTGTTTTTTACCCACAGGTTCAGATGACGACTGACAGAACCCTTTCTACAAACACTGCGTAACAAAGTGAATGGCGCTGTGTCGGTTCTGGGGAGGGGCCAACAGATTGTAGCACTGATTCTGGACACCCCCACTCCGAACGTATACAGTTGCACGTCACTGACGCCAAAGGTGGAAGTGCCTGTCTCACATTCTATCTAGTCGGACCTTTTAGTGTGCTACACCACTGAAAAAAGATGAGCGCGAAGATGAGAAGCAGCCCCCAGCGAAACAGCCCCAAGATTAACACGACGATGAGCCATATTATATTGTCAAAGGAACACCACAACACAAAACCAAGCAAGCCCGCAAAGGTAGGGTTGCTTAGATGTAACTCCTTTTCACTATTAAAAATTTAAAGTTAAAAATGAAGAGACAAAAGGGCATTACATCCTATATCTACATGAAAAACTAAATGATTCAGACACTGAAACATACTGTGAGTGTGGATGATTGTTCGTTTATGTGTGCCCTGCGATTGGCTAGCAACCAGTTCAGGGTGTCGCCCGCCTACGGCCCAAAGACGGCGAGGATAGGCTCCAGCATGCCTGTGAGATTCATGTAGATAGCACTATGCATTTGGATGGTAGATGTGTAGTTCAGCAACTTTCATTATGTTATTGTAGCTTAGCCAGCCACATTTGCCAAGCAGTTTGCCCAAAATCGGCCTCCTAATTGATGTCTGAGCTGCATTGCCAACATAACTTCAGAGAAATGAGGAAGCTAAATCTGCATGTGGTATTGTATGAAATAAACTCAAGAGAAAACGAGTGAGGCCCATGACAGAGCTGAGTAAAGTAAAAAAAAAAAACAAAAAACGAGACAATCCATCCTCGAGCACGGAAGAGTTGCTGCTCTGAGACAGTGCGATCCATGTCTTCCTGTGAGGCCACGCCCCCAATGTCACTGACAACATTAGACGGCGGCAGGTAATTTTGGTGCAGACACACCAGTGGATGTGTCAACGTGGGCTCCAGGGCGCAATTGAAAACTCCCGAGTCGCTGGGCTTCATGCCCTCCTTCTGCAGAAAAGCTTGTCGAGCACTGGCATCCAAGCTGGAGAGAAATCTTTCACTGTACTTTTTGACCTTCTTGCCCTGACCGAACTGATCTTTGCTCAGGATGAAGTCAGGTAATGAGTTCACTTCTTGTTTGTACCACAAGCTCTCGCCAATGTGTGCTGAACTGGGGTAGGTTGCAGTCCAGTGTCACTGCTGCACCCTCCACGATGTGGATGTCCCGTTGTGGCTGGTGCACTGTCTGGCCCCTCACTCCTGTCACAAAAAGGCAACAAAAGCGATCAGACATCAGTGGAAAGCGGCAGTGACTTTACATGTTGACATCACCAAGGCTCCAAGCAGCCTCAGCACACATACAAGCGCCCGACTCATGTCTCCACTCGCCGTCTGCATGAACGCTGACTTGTCGCTGAGGGGGCGTGGCCGTTTTGAAGCAGTGACATCACACATGCACAATGGAAGTCGTGCATTGCTGTGAGGAGAAGAATGAGCTCCTTAGTCGCAGTAGCGCCCTGTGGTTCCTCATGATCTTGATTTGAAACCGACCAATTGACATATAATGAAGTAAATACGTATTTAATCAGCACATCATCCTTTAACGAAGCTTTATTGACATTGGTGTAAAATAAATAAACTGAATTTAAAAGTAACATTTGAGTCCACAACCTTTAATTGAAGATCATCAAAAGAAAATTCAAGCTGGAATAACTGCTTTGGAATAAAACAAAATCATAGCAAATTAAAGGGTAACTCAATAAACCAAACTGTTAATTTCACCCAAATAAAACAGCGAGGGAAAAAGAAAACACAACAATCAAAGAGAAACCAAACATGCATCCATCCATCCATTTTCCGATCCACTTTTGCTCACAAGGGTCGCATTTTTTTTTTACATTTTTTAAACAAGCATCAAGGTAAAAATTGCTGATTTTAGAGGCATTTTGAGGTGAAATTTTTGCTGATTGGTGGAGAGTTAACATTGACTTTATTTTCTGTGACGAAGAATATGCTGTTGTGAGAGATTTCATTCTCTCTGGGTGAACTCATTGTTACTTGAAGAAATTATTTTAAAATTTTTATTTGAACAAGGTATTACAGGTATTTGAAATCCAAAGCACTTGATGTGCATGCATTAGATGGAGAGCTTTTATTTTGAAGGTCAACGGCGCTCGCTGTCGGCAGATTTCCGTGATGCAAAGTGTGGTGTCTTAACCACTGTAGTTGTTTGTATATTGTTTGGATGCATTGACTTCCCGTACCTTGCATTGCCATCAACTGCGCAAGTGTGAAATGTTCCTAGAATGTTTAAGGCTACTTCCCCACGCTGCTAATGGTGAAACTCACAGTAGAATATAAACAATAGAAAACGCGTGTGTCTGCTTCGTCATTCAAGACACCACATCTGGTGACGAGTAAAAGTCGATTTTAGGATCGTAGGCAATACTCTAAAGCAGGGGTCGGGAACCTATGGCTCTTTTGATGATTGCATCTGGCTCGCAGATAAAAAAATATATATTCTCGCTTGTTTATTAATGCATCCATCGATCTATTTTTCACTGCTCATTTCCTCATTCGGGCTGTAGTTGGCTCCAGGAGCTATTTTGATTGGATGATACTGGCCAATGTTGCCGTTGCTGTGGAAACAGGTATATATATACTGTTAAGATATGATTCCTCTCTGTTAGCTGGATTTGAAAGAAACAATGTAGAATGCTGTTGAAGGTATTTCCTGCTTACTGTGATTACAATCACCTTTGGTACCCCCTCACCCCCACTACTTTTATGACCCCTCCAGAGGACATGTCAACATCAAAAGAGGAACTGTTATCTCAAGTATCTGTGTTGCAGCTATTGAGGGACTGCACTTTGCTATGAGTACTATTGATCTCAGTCTCTTTCCTGAACATCTGTTTGCACACTTAAAACAACGTATGTAGTGTTAAAGTTTATCTTTTTCCTCCTTGGTTGATTAACGGCCCCCCAAGTATCTTCTGTTGTCCCCCAGCACCTTGGGTCGGTCCCTGATCGCTGTTAAGCCCCCCTGGGAAGACCTCTTATCTCAGGATGTATGCACAGCGGGGGATCTGGAACTTGCCATCACACCAAATGGCGGGTAGTAG